TAGGAGACCATAAGTCTGAGTGGACATCCATGACATGCGGAGTCCCTCAAGGCTCAATTCTTGCGCCACTCCTATTCAACCTGTATATGCTCCCAATGAGCCAAATAATGAGAAAGAACGGAATCTCTTACCACAGCTATGCAGACGACACACAGCTCTACTTAGCCCTATCGCCTAACGACTACAGCCCCATTGACTCCCTGTGCCAATGCATTGAGGAAGTAAACAGTTGGATGTGCCAAAACTTTCTTCAGTTAAACAAAGACAAAACTGAAGTCATTGCGTTTGGAAACAAAGATGAAGTTCTCAAGGTGAAAGCATACCTTGACGCTAGGGGTCTAACAACTAAAAATCAAGTCAGGAATCTTGGTGTGTCTCTAGAGTCAGACCTTAGTTTCAGTAGTCATGTCAAAGCAATAACTAAATCAGCATACTATCATCTGAAAAATATTGCAAGAATTAGATGCTTTGTTTCCAGTCAAGACTTAGAGAAACTTGTGCATGCTTTTATCACCAGCAGGGTGGATTATTGTAATGGACTCCTCACTGGCCTTCCTAAAAAGACCATAAGACAGTTGCAGCTCATACAGAACGCTGCTGCCAGGATTCTGAGCAGAACCAGAACATATGAACATATCACACCAGTCCTCAGGTCTTTACACTGGCTCCCAGTTACATTTAGGATTGATTTTTAAGTATTATTACTGGTATATCAATCATTTAATGGGCTAGGACCTCAATATATTGCAGATATGCTCACTGAATATAAACCTAACAGATCACTCAGACAGTGGCGGCTCCAGACAATTTTGATTGGGGGGGCAGTGGGGGGGTCCTGGTCATTTTAAGGGGGGTCTCATGAAAACCAACAAAAATACAGTGGACACGGCTAATAAATGGAAGCTTTAGCTTAAGTTCTGTCAGGAAGACTCAATCAGCGCGCCATGTATTACCTCATCCCTATCCAATCAGGTGTTAATAGTCACAGTATATAAGATTGGTACTTACACTTGTCTGAGTTCGCAGATGCTGACGCTGCCATTCACCTCCATTCTCCCCAACCACCACCAAGACGGTACCTTCCCCTCCATCCTCCCCATCACCACCACCAGGATGGTCCCTTCCTTACCTCCAGGGGGTCAGCTGCGCCCCCGCCTTCATCTCAGGCGGGACATGCAGATTCGGCTAACCTCGCTTTGCTCGCTAAGGACGGGGCCTACGCCAAAGAACTCATAAATTTATGCTTGCTGAGCTGTCAATAAATGTATATAGCCATTCAATTTATCTCCCGAGTCTTTCTGGTAGAACTGCATATTGCTGCTACTTAACAACAAAAACAACACAGCATATCAACTACTTTGTTTTTAATTAATCAATTGCAGTTTGCAAACAATATGCTCGAACTTTAATTGCCATAGCCACACCCATGACAGAAAACATATTTACAAAATAGTATCCTCCTCATCCTCCAATTCCTCGGTGTCCTCTGTTTCCAGTCTTTACTAAGAAATCCTATGAAAAATTATTTGCAAAATCTTCTGCAGGACAGTTCAATTCTTTACAATAATATAATATATTATGAAAGAAAATTAAGCTGTTACACTGAGATGGTTTAGGAAAACCATAAAGTGTTTTTTGTACAGTCAATTAATTGTACAGGCAGCATTAAACCATCAAAATTAAATGATTGTTTATAGCTTATGAATTTCCTAGCCTATATTTTCTTTAGCAGGGGATTTCAAACTTTTTAATGGCAATGAGCCCTAAACAATACCCTTGTGAGATTCTTTATTTAGGCTTATAATAAAATATATGCCTAATATAATATAATATAATATAAAAAAATGAATTGAAGTATTTGAAGTGCACAATATATCAGTTTAAATGCTTCAATTTGTTTTCATATTATATTATTATAATATGAAAACAAACTGAAGCATTTACTGTAAATAGCTAGATCTAATAGCTAAATATTTTCAAGAAAAATGAATATGTGAACTCTTTTATAGTAGCCTAATCTAACCATGCCTGAAACTATATGATGTATTTTGAGTTTGCACGCGGGTGGGTGTGTAATTGTTACCGTTCTGTGTCCATCATCCGTTTTTTCCACCACTTTAATCAAACCACTCTTCTTTAAAACATGATATTGTGATTTTATTTAACGTCTTTGCGTTTCTCGTCGCCTCTCGTATTGAGATAGGCTATTTGGTCCGCACACACAACTCACTGGCAATCCCACGCGCTCACATCATTCTCTTTCTTTGAAACCTGTTAACTGCACTCACCAGTTTGAGCACTGCAATTATTTGTCACATACAATCAAATGGATTTCCCCACACATTTCGCGTCAGTCCTCTGCGTGGCATATTATTATTTTCTGCGCGGCCGCGGCATCAGAAGTGCACGACCGCGCACGCGCGCAGCTTAGAGGGAACGTGATTCTTATGTTTATATATTTTGTATGTCGAATAAATTATTAATTATTATTGTTCTGCGTAGTTTGAAGATAAACATTTTTAAATATTTATCCCGGATATATATATTTTTTAATCAGGAAGGGAGTGGGGGCAGGGACGGATTATGGCGATGATGTGCCCTGGGCACGGATGTCTCAAAGGCCCCCTTCACCAATTTTTTGGACAACAGTGTTGCACCTGCATGCACAGGCGCCGCAATAGGGCAGGCAAGCCAGGCATTTTAAAGGGACCCTCGAGGGCTGATCATTTAAACAGAAATGTTAATAAATGACAGACGCAGCAACATCTCTGCATCCCCCTTAGTGTGGGGCCCCTCGCTCGTTATACGCTCGTTATGCTTTTACCTTTTTGAAACTGGTGCAGCGCTTACTCGCGGTAGGTAGAACATGTATGCTTTGATTTGTTAAACATGCAAAGGACTTATCTGTCTGGCATGGCAGCTCGCTCTAACTTTAACCTAGATAAATGCATATCCAAAGTGTTTGTGCGGAGTGTGCAGCGCGCACTGCATGGCAGGCGTCGGCGCGAACACTTGCATTTTCCTATCAACAGTGGAAACAACTTGAAATACTCAATCTTTTCTGGTCATAGGCCTATACAGAAAAGAATAATGCATCAGTCGCAAGTAGCTACTTTTATTTTTGTAAACTCAATAACAAGAAAACGTTGTGCTTTTGTAAAATAAAATAAAATAAAACAAACAGGGCGCGCTTTCATGGTCTCCGTGGCGTGAACTGGAGCGCGTCTCAAAAATGAACTGAAACACAGTGTAGCTATAGCCTCACAGGCATGATGAATATTTCTATATAAAGCTTGAAATGTCCACTTTTAAACGAAAAAATTCGAATCGAAAGCAAATACCGGCTGATTAGGCTGATATGATATGAAAGGGGCATTTCTCTCTAAAGGCGCATCCACTTTACAGCGGAGATATAGATATGTTTGCAGCCGACACTGATTTAAAAAATATATTATTTTTTATTATTAAACAATAAAAATGCCTAGTTTTTTTCCCCAGACAAATATTATCATTAGCCTGCTTTTGCCGGTGCTTTGCGGCAATATTTATGCATGCGCTTGCTTGAGCGCGGAATAGGCTATATGCCTCCACTCAGTATTTAAGCAGAAATTAATATTAACGTGAGATTAGTCGACTAATTGCTTAAAGGAATGACTACTACAGTAGTCGTCGACTAGAAAAATCTTTAGTCAATGGCAATTCTAATCAATGCATTTAGGCTAGTTGACATTTAGGCCTATTTAATTAGTAATTCTAGTATCCTGGGCCGGGTTTCCCGATAACAATGTATCTTAGCTCTTAAGAGTGCTTTCTACGTGCAAGGTTACGAACGTTCGCAGCAATTCCACGAGCGTTTCCCAAAAATGCACTTAACATGAACGCGTTAAGTATAAGTTAAGTATATACTTACGTGCTACTTAAGCGTCGCTGTCCATTCGCGAAGTGCTGAAATATAACCTTATATGGAATCGTATTCTGAACGTTTAACCTAATAATCGTCATTTGTTGTGGATTAGAAATCAAGACAAGTCTATATGGATATAAAACACCTATAGGCCTACAGGCTGACAAAATGGCTGAACAAAAACAAAAAAACAAGAGAAGAGACCTTTCAAAAAGATAAAATGAATGTCCTTTTAGAGGAGATAGAGGGAAACAAAGATTTTATTTTTAACAGTTTTAAAGGACACCATACAAATTAGAAAAAACAAAACGTCTGGAAGGACATTGTCACATTGCAAAATAACTGCAACCGCCTTCAAAGATCAGGGAAGGAGGTCCGCAAGAAATGCCCAATACATGGCTGGTTTTCGTGCACGTCAGCAAGTCATTGACAGATTTTTTTTAATTCATCCATATTTTGCCCGGTCTTTAAAGCATTTTTCCCAGATTACTTATTTAATGACTTTTTGTTTTTTGTTCATTCGTTTAATTTAGATGTGTATTTCTATTTTTTTCTTCCCCTTTTAATTATTTCATTCATTCATTTAAACAAAACACGAGTACAACAAAGTGTACAATAAAGTACAATCAAAACCTATATACTTACGTTGCAGTGTAATCTGTTAAATCTAGATAAAAGTGTGATCTGACGGTTGTCCTGCAGGTGACCTCATAAATCTGTCTTCTTACGATGCTCTTGGGGATGTACGATTACTCCAGAGCACTCGTAGTTCTACGAAGATTTTCAAGTGCTACTTAAGCTACGATGCTTTTGGGAAACAGACCATAATATTAAGATCAGTCGTACGATCGTTTTTACGATCAATTTAGGCTTACGATGCTTTTGGGAAACGCAGCCCAGGTCTTTACGTTAAATTAGTTGAGTTAACAATTAGTTACTAAAATACTAAAATAATAAAACAAAGATTAAATTAAGATGCTATATAGCTGTCACGCACAGAAGAGAGACACAGAAGAATGACAGGTGAGAAGCTTTATTTAATAAGCAGATGGTGGAAGTTCACAAGCCTGAGGTAGATATTGATGATAATCAGGATCTTTCAGGAGTGACAGGGAGTCTAACATTCTCTGACGAGACCAGACAATAAATGAAGGGACGTGAGGGTATTTAAGTGTTGGAAGTGATGAGCGGGTGCAGGTGTAGTGAATTAGTATTCAGGAGATAATGAGCGAATGAGTGGATTTGGGTTATTAGAGTCTGATGGTGTGGCAGGTGTTACAGATGACTCTGTGACAGTACCCCCTCCTCCATGGGCGGCTCCTGACGCCCCAATGACTCGTCGACGGGGTCGGCCTCGACCCCTAGGGGCTGGGCGGTTGGGATGAGCCTCGTGGAACTGGGTGAGGAGGGATGGATCCAGAATGTCCTCCCTTGCGACCCATGTGCGTTCTTCAGGTCCGTATCCCTCCCAGTCCACGAGATACTCCAGGAGGCGACCACGTCGACGGGAGTTTAGGATGTCTCGGACGCGGTAGATGGAATCTTCTTCCGCGACATCAGGAGGAGGAGGTATGTCCAGGACATCAGACCCTGGGGAAGAGGAAGTTAGAGGGTCAGTGAAAGGTTTTAGAAGGGAGACATGAAATGACGGTGCAATGCGGTAGCTTGGGGGAAGGCGAAGCCGGTAGGTGACTTCGTTGATTTGTCTTTCAATGGGGAAGGGACCTATATATCGAGGACTCAGCTTCTTGCTGGGTAAGCGAAGACGGATGTCTCTGGTGGATAGCCAGACCTTTTGACCTGGTTGATACACAGGGGTTGTACCTCTCCTAGAGTTAGCTTGATTCTGATGACGTCGTACCGCTCTCTGCAAGTGGACGTGCGCAGAGTTCCATACCCTTTCACTCGTCTCAAACCAGGTGTTGACTGTTGGGACCTCCGACGGCTCCCCCGACCATGGGAACAAAGGGGGTTGGTATCCGAGTATGCATTGAAATGGTGTGAGACCGGTGGTATACTGGCGTAGCGAGTTTTGAGCATACTCGGCCCATGGGAGGAAGCGACTCCAGCTGTTTTGATTCTGATTGCAGTAAGTTCGCAGATATCTCCCAATTTCCTGTATTTTCCGTTCCGTTTGGCCGTTGGATTGAGGGTGGTAGCCTGAGGATAGGCTGACTGAAACACCGAGCAACCTGAAGAAAGCGTGCCAGACGCGGGAGACGAATTGGGGACCTCTATCAGATACTATGTCTTCTGGAAGACCAAAATGGCGGAAAACGTTTTCAAACAGTTTGTTGGCGGTTTCGAAGGCCGTGGGGAGACCCTTCAAAGGGATCAGTTTACAGGCTTTGGAGAAGCGGTCTACTACAACTAGGATGCAGGTCTGTGAGTCGGAAGGAGGGAGGTCGGTCATGAAATCTATACCCAGATGGGACCATGGTCGACGAGGTATAGGTAGGGGTTTGAGCTTACCCTCCGGGAGCCGACGTGGGATATTGGTGATGGCACAAATCGAGCATCCTCGAACATAGCGGGAGACATCCTGTGCGATGGTGGGCCACCAGAACCGGTTACTGAGGAGTGAGAGGGTTCGGTGGCAACCAGGGTGTCCAGAGCCTGGGGACGTGTGGACCGAGTCTAGGAGGGGTAGGCGTAGTGAAGATGGAACATATGTCCTGCCTTCAGGACCTCCTGGTGGAGCCGGTTCAGCACGGGTTGCCATTTGGATCTGATTGTCTAGGGTCCATTCAATTGGACTGACGACTACGGTAGGAGGGAGAATGGGCTCCGGAGGTGACACTGTTGATTCTGGCGCCTGAAGGCGGGAAAGTGCGTCAGCCTTCTGATTCTTATCTCCGGGACGATAGGTCACACGAAAGTTGAAACGGGTGAAGAATAGCGCCCATCGAGCTTGGCGAGTGTTCAGACGTTTGGCTTCACGAAGGAACTCGAGGTTGCGATGATCCGTTATGACCTCGACTTGATGGTGTGCTCCCTCCAACCAGTGTCTCCATTCTTCGAATGCCAGTTTGATGGCCAACAGTTCACGGTTTCCGATGTCATAATTTAGTTCAGCCGGGGACAGTTTCTTTGAATAGAAAGCACATGGATGGAGTACTGGCTGTTCTCCTTGGTACTGGGATAGAACGGCTCCCACCCCGGTTGATGAGGCGTCCACTTCCACCACGAAGGGAAGATCTGGATTGGGATGGATCAGGATGGGAGCGGAACAGAAGGCTTCTTTGAGTTGTTGGAAGGCTTGAACCGCCGCTTGGCTCCAAGACAAAGATTTGGGTCGGCCCTTGAGGAGAGAAGTCAGCGAGGAGCTGATGGAACTGTATTGGTGGATGAAACGGCGGTAAAAGTTTGCGAAACCCAGGAACCGTTGAAGTTCCTTTGTGGTGGTGGGCTGAGGCCAGTTCCTGATGGTATCCACCTTCCTCAGGTCCATTTGGACTCCCAGAGGACTGATTACATAGCCTAGGAAGTGGACGGTGGTACGGTGGAACTCACATTTTTCCAGTTTTAGGAAGAGTTGATGCTCTCTAAGTTTTTGTAGAACTTGGCGGACGTGATGATGGTGTTCGGTTAGATTCTTGGAGAAGATCAGGATGTCGTCAATGTACACTATTACAAACCGTTGTAAGAACTCTCGGAATACTTCATTCATGAAGGATTGGAAAACGGATGGAGAGTTGGACAACCCATAAGGCATAACGAGGTATTCGTAGTGCCCCGAAGGAGTGATGAACGCTGTTTTCCATTCGTCGCCACTTCTAATGCGTACGAGGTTGTAGGCACTTCTGAGATCCAGTTTGCTAAAGATTTGGGCACCACGTAACTGTTCCAGGGTAGCTGGGACAAGAGGAAGGGGGTAGCGGAACTTGACTGTTCGCTCGTTGAGCGCACGATAATCAATACACGGCCGTAAGCCTCCATCCTTCTTCCCCACGAAAAAGAAACTAGATGCTGCAGGAGAGGTGGATGGCCGAATGAAGCGTTGTTTCAGGGCTTCCTTTATGTACTCATCCAATGCTTTCTGCTCTGGTATGGACAGCGGATAAATTCGGCCCTTTGGAGGGATGGTACCGGGCAACAGGTCTATGGCGCAATCCCACGGCCGGTGAGGTGGCAATTGGGTGGCACGTTGTTTACTGAATACATCTTGGAACATCTGATACTCAGGAGGAATCTCTGGCTGGTAAGAGGTTTCAGGACTTTCGATCGAAGTGGAGTTGATATGAAGTTTAGAAGGATCGTGAAGTTTATCAGGTGGAGGTTTCAGAAGACCGGTCTTGATGACTGGCAGTATGCATGATGAGAAACAGGAATGCCTCCACTGGATGACCTCACCCGTTGTCCAGTCCACTTGTGGAGCATGGACTGACATCCATGGACGACCCAGGATGATGTCCACTGTAGACCCATCCAGCACCAGAAAAGAAATTTCTTCCTGATGTAGAATTCCAATGCGGAGTGTAACAGTGGGAGATTGGTAACAAACTTGACCTCGGCCCAGTGGCTTACCTAGTATGGTTTGAATTTCTAACTTCTTTGGGGACCTTCGCCTCGGGAGGTGGAGTCTCTTGAGGAGCTGGACGGAAATGAAGTTGCCCGAGGAGCCAGTGTCGATGAGGGCGTACGCTGGAACAGAGCGAGAACCAGTTATGACCATCACTGGAGTGCGTGTTAGCGGAGAAATCATGGGAGGAATACAAATGGAACTCACCGCAGCGCGTGGTGGTCTAGTTGGACATTGGCTGATGAGATGTTCACCCGAACCACAGTACAGACAGAGGGCGTGGTTAATGCGTCGCTGACGCTCTGAAGCGGTGAGATGGAAAGAATCCACTTCCATGGGTTCTGGTGCCGGAAGGGATAGAGATGATGTAATACGTCGGGAGGGTCCTGCAGACTGATCCAGAGAACAAGCTGATAAACGTTGGGAAATTCTAATGGTGCGTTGGATGATCGCTTCTAGACCCATGACATCATCATGGACAGCGATCTGCTGACGAATGCGGGGATTCAGTCCTTGACGGAAACAGGTGATAAGCGCAGTCTCATTCCACCCACTGTTGGCCGCTAGAGTGCGGAACTGAAGCACGTACTCACTCACCGAGGCATTTCCCTGACGATGGTGGTAGAGCTGATCATGGATGGAGAGAGCGGAAGTGTTAAGGCCGAAAACCTCCTTAAAATGCGCGATGAATGCTTCCCATGAGCGGGTAAGAGCGCTGTTTGAGTCCCAGATGTTTTGGGCCCACTGGAGAGCTCGACCTGAGAGGAGGGAGATCAGGCAGACAATCTTGGTACGATCAGTGGGAAAAACCTGTGGTTGCGCCTCCATATAGAGCGAGCACTGAAGTAGGAAACCGTTGCAGCCCTCCGCTTCTCCGGAGTACGTAGTTGGACGGGCGATAGGACTGTAGATCGTCGGCGGTGCATGTGGGTCAGGAGCGGGAGGAACTGCCTGGTTGCCGGGAGGTGTTTGTTCACCGCGAGGGACCCGTGGCTGGCCTTCTCCAGTACCTGTGGCTCCTTGCATATCGAAGGTCTGGTCTTCTGTCACGCACAGAAGAGAGACACAGAAGAATGACAGGTGAGAAGCTTTATTTAATAAGCAGATGGTGGAAGTTCACAAGCCTGAGGTAGATATTGATGATAATCAGGATCTTTCAGGAGTGACAGGGAGTCTAACATTCTCTGACGAGACCAGACAATAAATGAAGGGACGTGAGGGTATTTAAGTGTTGGAAGTGATGAGCGGGTGCAGGTGTAGTGAATTAGTATTCAGGAGATAATGAGCGAATGAGTGGATTTGGGTTATTAGAGTCTGATGGTGTGGCAGGTGTTACAGATGACTCTGTGACAATAGCATTGCTTGTTCCACCACAAAAGACACTTTTTAAGGTGACAATCCGTTACACATTTGAAGATTTATTGTATCTTGAAGATTGTTGTATTGTATTTTATCTTCTGTTATAAAGATGAAGATTGACATTTCGTTAAAAAAAATAATCCCATATGCTCCTATTGTAAAACATAAACAACTTAGCCTATGTTCTGTCTTGGTTGTGGTTTTAAACTCATTTTTGTTTTTGTTTTTGAGTAACCGTCTTCTACGCGTGACTTTTATATTACGCAATGCTTTTCACTCGCCTCTAGATGTCCTTCTCAACAGCGCAGCAATACATTAAAATTATTTATTTGATTTATTTACTAGTTAATACTTTGCAACTGCAAAAAAAATCACATTATTCCTCAATATTTAACACAATTTTACTGAAAATAAAAATAAAATAAAAATAATTATTTGAAAAGAATAGACACAGTAAATTTTACAGGGCCCCCTGCTGGCCCAGTGCCCTGGGCAAGTGCCCAGTAGGCCCGTGCGTTAATCCGTGCCTGAGTGGGGGGTCAAATGGGGGGTCAAAGCATTTTTTGGGAGGGTCTTGAGACCCCCGAAGACCCCCCCTGGCGCCGCCGCTGCACTCAGATCATTAGGATCACATCAGCTAGAAATACCAAGGGTTCACTCTAAGTACGGAGAATCTGCTTTTAGCTACTATGCCAGCCGCAACTGGAACCAGCTTCCAGAGGAGATCAGATGTGCTCCTACAGTAGTTACATTCAAATACAGACTCAAAACACATCTGTTTAGCTATGCATTTACTGAATGAGCACTGTGCCACTGTCCGTCCGACTGTTTTTACTGTACTTTATTTTATTTTTTATTCTAAACTGTTTTAATTATTCTTATTTGTTTTGATTATTTTATTTTTTTCTATGTAAAGCACTTTGAATTACCATTGTGTATGAAATGTGCTATATAAATAAACTTGCCTTGCCTTGCCTAGGAATGCTTAATGAAATGTTTCTTTTTTCAAGAAGGGCATTTGATACAGTTTGTGAGAACTTTGAAAAAATAAATTAGGGATTGAAACAGCGTGAATAGCCAGTCGTTAGTAATTATAATGAAGACAAAATAAAAAACATATTTAGAGCCATAACCAGGCCGGTAGGGTTGCCAACTGTCCCGAATTAGCCGGGACATCCCGTATTTTGGGCCTAATTTATTTGTCCCGTACGGGACTTCCCTTGTCCCGATTAAATAGACTGCTATGCTTATCTAATCACTGACTGATACAACAGCAACACGACACTTGAGCATGATCACGACACCGGTCATTATCCAATCACAGCCCACACTCAAGCGCATCAGGCCATACGAATAACAGACTCTAAATTGAGAATTATTTATTCTTTTGGGACAAATCATTGTTTGATTTGCGAACAGAATCCTCTTCTGTCTCGCTCCCGGTTCGATCCGCACTCGCGCTAACGGCAAATCCCTTTCACCGTCCGGCCGGGTTTTGATTTCGGAAAACCGGTTTTGGTGAATTCAAACAACGTGATTATTGTTCATGAGTCCAACATCCAGCCACGCAAGAAAACATGAAATCCTCCTGAGGGAATAATATGCTGATGTGATTTGCTGCCCAAGAAACATTTCTGATTATTATTAATGTTTAAAAAAAAGAGTCAGGATTCTTTGATGAATAGAAGGTTCAAAGTAGATTATTCACAGGCCCGTCGGAACAGGACAGGCAAACCAAGCAATTGCTTGGGGCCCCGAGTTGGACTGGGGCCCCAAGACAACGACAGTTTAGGAATAAAATGCAACGACAAACTGTGAGCGCCCCTTTGATAGTCAATGCAGTAAAGTGCAATGACACTGTTATCGGAATCCCCCTCAAGGGGGCCCCCTCAGTAGTCGCTGACAGCAGCCAGCCAACCACGCGATCTCTGCTGCCGGCAAAATACAAACCTCCTCGGGAGTTTAATATCATGAAGCGGAATTATGCTTCAGGAAGCCAGAAAAGAAAGAAGAGAAAGGAAGAGAAGGTTAAGAAAAATACAAGATAGTGGTAAAGTAATAAATTACACTGCATAAAAATAGCTCTACTTGTCTTGTACAAATGGTGTAATTTTGCAGCAGTTAACATTAGGCTAGCAAAAATATGTTTATGTTAGCTACCTGCCTGACGGCAAATGCTGCTTGTAACGAACAGTTAGTGCAATTTTTTTTTCGAACGGACGGAATATGGTTAACGTTACATACTGTAATATATTAATTTTAACGGTTTAAGGAGTTCCAGAATCACTGTTTATCGTATTTAATGACATGACATTGCTATAGCTAATAGGTTTTGATGAAAGTGGCATAGCATAACTATTCCACCGTGATAATTTATTTACCAATGGGGGTTAGGAAAACCACACAATAAATTCCGTGCATCAAACATTAGCTTGGGATGTTTTTAAGCATTGGTAGTGAAAGCAGCATCCTTTCCCTTCTAATATCAAAATATGGATATGCTAACATATCTTTAAGTTTTCTGTAACACTTTATAATAACAATCATTAATAGATGGTAAATTGTTAGTTACTTAATATTTAGTTAATTGTCATTTAACTGTTAGCAAACAGTCTTTTTACTTAATAAATCATTTGTAACCTTACCCATCTATAAACATTATTTAACCTGAAAAAGGCAGAGGAACATGATTTTTTCATAGCTTATGTCACTGTAATTTTTTATTTTTTTATGCACAGTATGCAACAACAGTATTTGCACTGTAAACCTTTTTTATTCATATAAAATGTGTATAAGTGTGTGTGTGTGGGGGGGGGGGGGGGTCAAATTCCTTCAAACGGCCCTGATTATTCGAAATAAAAAAAGCTTTTGTAACATTTTAAATGTCTTTACTGTCACTTTTGATTCTTTTAATGCGTCCATGCTGAATAAATGTAGGCTATTACTTTCTTTAATTTCTTTGAAACGTAGTGTATAATGTTACAAAACCTTTCTATTTCAGATAAGTGCTATTATTTTGAACTATATGGTTTGTGTAATGTGACTTTTTTGTGTGACCTTAAAATTCGTTTTAGAATTAAATTCTACATAAATAGGTTAAGCAAAACAAATGTTTGCATGTCTGAGAACCTTTTAAACATACAAACCTGAAATTACATATACATATACTGTGTGATACAGTACAAATATTTTGAGTGTCCCTTATTTTCCTGTAAAGAACCACGATTGTCCCGCATTTTTCCTTTCTGAAGTTTGCAACCCTACAGGCCGGAGAGGTGAATAGCCCCGTTTCCACTGTCGGGCCAGGGCCGGGCCAGGGCTAACAGCGAGCCGAGCCGGGCCAGTGGCCTCGGGCCTTAAAGGGTCATGAAACCCCAAACCAAATTTTCTGAGATTTTAACAGAGGTATGTGTGTTGAACACCATTGAAGACAATGTTAGCATCTGTTAGATTTAATAGGGTTAAATTTGAGTTTTTTCGTCTTCCGGGTTTAAAATCTTCATCGTGTCCACGTCACAGGCTGAAACTGAGACTGAGATTTCATATCCTATGAGAAGACACTGTCTCTTAATTATTCATGACACCACGTGGATCTTTCCAATGACAGACACATAGATGTGATGTCTATGGACAGACATGTCAAACTGTGATATCTTTGTTTTCGTGGTGCAAAAGTCCAAGTGGGTTGAATATGTTTCCCCAGCGATGCTGCCAGGGCAGGGCTAGACAACCACGGACACATCTAAACTATAGTGTGTGCCGCAAACATTTTTCTCGAGAGAGTGCTTCGAGAATTGGAGAATGGTGGAATTAGCCTTGTTGACAACCAATCCAGGTTGCGTCTTGCGAGTGATGCGGTACCAAGTCTCGAGGACTTTTCAATCCCTTCAGAGGTATGTGTGTGTGTGTGTCTAAAATGAGAAGTCATCCACCAACACAAAGCAATCTTTATT